TAAATTCCTTCTCAGTCTTTTTAATACGTAGATCTAGATCTAGATCTGACCTAGTCTCGCCAGCCAGACCAATCCCACCTACTTGGTCTGGCTGGCGAGACTAGATCTGACCCGTACAGTGATCTGTAGATATCACTCCACTGACGAGTCTTCCTAGCTCTTATGCAGCCAGCTCCACCCCTATAGGCTGAAGGGTGGGGCTGGCTGAGTGCAGTGACAGGGCTGACAGGGCCATCATAATTGTACTGGCATCATGATCGGAGTCATACTAGCCCTCATCTTTCTTAGACATTGTGCTGGACAAAGTAAGTATAAATTTAAATGCTTTAGCATTTATTTTATAGTTAATATAGCTATAACAGTTCAGCCAATGTCCATCAATACAACTATCAACTCCACTGTCAATTTTACTTGTGAGGGTGTTGGTACTGAAATTACCTTTAGATTACAGTTCTATGGAGAAAACGAGACTAGAGGAGCAACTGATGAAGTTGCCATAAATAGAGGCTTTTCTTTTGAAACATCTAATGATAATGATGCAAGAACTGCTCAACTACAAGGAACAGCTTATGAATTTAACAATAATACAAGTATCAGATGTAGAGTTGATACCAATAATGCTAGCCTTTCCAGCGATGTAGCAATATTAATGATACAAGGTTAGTTATTGTCCTTAAGAGGTAATTTGTTTTACATAAAAATGACACATTAACAATGTGTAATGTCAGTGCCTATACTAACTGCTAAGTGCAATGCTAGCTGAATTGTAACCATGATGATTAATCAATTTTACACATAAGCATATCAGTATGCTTATGTTTGTGTTAATTCATTATAGGTCTATTGGATAGTGTTGTTGATCTGGATTATACCTTTATCAATGGATCCAATGTATTATTAACATGGACAGCTCCTTATACACTGGATAATGTACCTATCACTGGATACTATATAGTAGTTAATGGATTAGTGAACATTACTACTAATGATAATAATACTAATATTATATTATTAGCTACTAATCCTGATCCTTGTCTATTAAATAATGTATCAGTTTCTCCTATTAATGATGTTGGAATAGGTTCATCTAATAATATCAGTTTTTATTATGAAACAGGTTAGTCTTATTATGCCTTCATGTATATGTTTACAGCATTCCCTTTTAATTAATTAAGTCTCTCCTGCTGTATCAGCAATACCAATTTGTGATGATGAACTAATATACATCAGCATTAATGTAAGCATAGTCATCAGATATTCCACTCATGTCATAAGCATGTGTTGTTTTATACTCTACACACAATAGCTCAGCACTATATGTGAAAGGCAGTATCCTGATTCTATAGCAGTTATTATACTCAATAGTGATAGCAGTATAATAAAAAATGTTACTATTATACCACAAGTTAATTATCAACAGATGATAGCAACTGGAAATACTTCAATACCATCTTGCAATGATACATTTATTGTTAATGTATCATTGAGTAATACTGAAGGAACTCTTAATGAAATGTCACATTTTGGTAATAAAATATCATTAAACTTATTTCTTTTTATTTTTCATTTTCATTAGTTTATCTTGGACCAGTTACTAACATTGACTTCTCAGTTGTTAATTGTTCTACTATTGATATAACATGGACTGCTCCTACAGTTGATGATAGAGTACCTATACTGTATTACATACTAAGGATATATGATGCTATTACTGGTAGTCTAGTGGATACTGTATCAGTATATAATACCAGTTACCAGTTTGTGGATAATAATTTATTTATCCATAGTTACACATATGTTATAGCTGGAGTTAATGAATTCCACAGAGAAGGAATATCTAATAATAATACATTCTCAAATCAAAGAGGTAGATCTACAATATTTTAAAAGCTTAAATGGTTCTGAAACTCATGAGTGTCTGTTGTCTAAATTTTAATAATTATGCATGTACAGTTATATCAAGAGTGGATATTGGTTATATCTATGTGTTTTTTGAATAGTTCCAATATTAGCAGTGGAGATGGTGAATTATGCACAAGATCAAACAGCTACTGTTAGTATTGTTCATTACAACATCTCAGTCAGTATATAAAATAATTATATATATTATTATTAT